TGCGTTTATGTCTCTGTAAATCTTAACTATTGTACTAGAATTGAACATAATAAATAGAAAAATGAAATGGAAAAAGAGCCACTCCTTCTTCTTATGTAGGATATTACTTTTCTAAGCTATGAGAAAGTACTGGCAGAGTTTATAGATTTCTGAATTTAAACTTTTATATTAAAGAATTCAACTTATTGAGAAGGTAGCTTTGTACATTAGCTCTTATAACAGATATAAATCTCTTCAATTTTACCTCAGATGATCTAAGCATTGGCAAGTATGAAGGGACAAAGAGACTTTAAAGAAGAAATATATTAAAAAATGTCTAGTTTCAGTAAATGTAATGTGCCATCCTCATGTCAGCATGCAACTTTAAGAGGTTTTGTGCATATAAATCACTTTTTTCCCCCCAGTCTTAAATCCATCCTTGTTTTACATGTTAATTTTCTGCTAGATTAATTAATTACAAAAAGATGCCAATTTTCCCACCTTTCTGCCCAGCTTTTAGCTCAGACAGATTGGTTGTGTCATAATCAGGCTGCAGTTTCAGCAGGCATTCCAGTGTTAGGTGCTGTCAGTCCAGAGGTTTTACTGCTATTCAACAACTAGAAAGTGACACAATTATTTGAATCAATTATTTGTTATATATATGTTCAATCTGCTGTTCATGACCCCAAAAAGAAATATTGAAATATAGCTATATATTGTAAGAGTATGATTGAATTATATTGAAATATAGATACATAGGTCCCCTTACATTTCACTTGTGGTAAGTGTTCAATAATTTCTAAACTCTCAAAGCCACAGTGGGTGGCTGCTCACATTCACAGAAAGGCAGGAAAATGTGAAGCAATTTGCTTCAAGCCAGGAACAGTCCAGGTGCTGCTGCCATGCAATCCTCTGCCTCATGTCATCAGAATTCACATTTTCATCATTAATGAGTGAAAAAAAGGGCAACTGGTTTCTTCAGTGGCGTTTGCTCCTTAGATGTTTACAGCGATTTTCAGTGGCATAGGAACACACTGGAAGATAAGTCAAATCTTCCTTTGGGAGCAGTACTGGGTGGATGTCTTTTAAAGATCTCTTCATGGTGTTTGTTTCATTTAGCACAGGAATATTTGCCTTATTGCTCTCAGAACACCTGGCAGGGTGTGTGTGTCTGTGTGTGCTGTGTTTCAGTGAACAATTTGATGGAATGAGATGCCTGGAAGAGCAATCTCCGTAAGTACCAGAGACTCCTTTCTCTCACACATTTACTGCCAGCCCAGAGTAGTCATTGTCTGCCTGTGCAGCAGGGGAAGTGCAGCTCCCTCGAATCAAAGGCTTTCACACCTTTCATCTCTGAGGGCAGCTCACAGCTACCCAGGAAGGGAGATCAGGGAACTTCTGGCTGAATGGAGAAAGGACCAACCCTTCTGCAGGCAGCCCATGAGTCTGAACTCATGGAAAAAGGAAATTTGGCTTATACCCTTGTAAAGGATGGCTTGAAGGGCAGCACATCCTGTAATGTTGAGGTTGTGTAAGCAATAAATTAATGCAGAGGTGTAGAACATCATTGTTCAGTGCTGTTCATCTTGAGGAAACAGCACCAAGCTGAGTCAGGGGAGGTTTAGGTTGGATATGTTCTTTTCCTCTTCCCCCTTCTCTGTTCCTGCCATCAGCTTACATAGAACAATGCAAAAAATTAATCTAACATTGTACTTCATAAAAGCATTACATGTTGGTCGGGGATAAATCAAAGCATTGCTGAATGAAAGGGTTACTTTAAACCATCCTGTCCCAGAATCAGAACCATTGCTGGAAAAACATATTTTTATAAATAGAATGAATCAGCTGATGTGTATCTGGAAAAAAAACCAAAAAACATTCCAAGCTCAAAAACATCAGGAAAATTGATGGTGAGGTGTTTTGGGGAAAAGCAAACGGGAAAGATTCATTGTTTTCTGCAAAGAGTTTCAAAAGAAACTCCCAGAAATGTTCAGGTATGTAACTACAAGACTTGAAACAAGATCTGGAGACATAAAAGTCTTGTGAAATGCTTTCAGAAAGTTAGCAATTAGAACTGCTATTTCAGGTTGCTGTTAATTTTAAGACCCAAACCTGTTTTATTGGAAAAGGCAGAGATTTGCTGTGACTTGCTTATAAAATACAAAATCTTAACATGTGTAATATTTTACATGAGCTATTGAAATACCTTAAACTGAAAAAATAAAACACAACAAAAAATTATAAATAATTTTAAATTTTAATATTTTTTCTGAAAATAAGCTAACAGGGGTGATAGTGGCATAGGACTGTAGAGTAAGTTGAATCTGCATTTGCATCTAAACTTTCATAATCTGAAAATTTAGGCCATTTCTATTCTTAGCAGTGATTTGTGGTAGTACAGTGAAGTGAATGAACAAGAAAACACATATTACATCCTCTATTAATTTCTTCCACATAAAAAAATAAATATGTTTCAGAGTTGTGAGACATTGTGGAAGCCATGTGGATCTGGGACTGAACAGTTCCCAGTCAGAGCAATCCATTAAGAACTGCTGAAAGCAGACCACCTACACACTATTTCTGACAAAGGGGGAAAAAGAGAGTTTTTCAGTGCTGTAACAGTTCAAAAAAAGAGAATTAGAGGCAAAAGGTCTACATGACTGCAATAATTGCAGAGATATTTTTAAAAACTGTTTTTCCTGAATTATAGGTGATAAAATGTACAAAGCATTGCAGATACTTCTCACGGCCTTAGTGGGTACCATGGTGCTGCTGCCAACCAGTCAGGTAAAGGAGTCTGGAGTGGAGCACAGACCAATGGAAAGCTGCTAATGAATGTTAATTTTTCACCTCAGAAGCCTTTCCACAGGTTGCAAATTAACTCAAGTTATGCCTGTTTCCAAAATACTCCTCATAAAACAAAAAAGAAACTAAAAACTTCTTGAGAGATATCACTGTTCCCCTCAACAAGTGCAAGATGTAATCTAAACCTCTTAGCTACAGGAGGAGAACGTGAGGGATGATACAGAAAGAGGCCAAATTCTTCCAGTTAAAATATGCTGGCAGCTTTAGCAATCACTGGCAGACCTGATGAAATCTGTTGGATTTTAAGCCTGACAAGGATAAGCACAAATTGTAAACACCATCTGCAAGACATCCAAACCACAGGTATTGCAGAATATGGCCCTGGGTCTGTGCTGAAATGCAACCCCTTGTTTGGTTCTCATAAAAGTAGCCACTCTAAATTGTTTCTGAATGCAATAAATACAGCACAAGTAAACACAGCACCTGCAAAAATGAAAAAACTTAGCATCCAGCATGATTGTGGTATTTTCATGACACTGTTTCAGGCAAACAAAGCAGGGTAACTTGCAACTTCCTGGAAAATTAAATGGCAGGTTTGCCAAGACATGGTTACTCTTGCTAACGATACAAATGATAGGCAAGTTATTTTCTGTGAGTTCCTAGATTATGGTTTTTAAAACATGAGTTTGATTTAATGTTATTTTTATAGTCATTGAATAAAGGGAATTTGATTCAGGTTGTGGGTGGGAGAAAATGTGATCTCAGCATGTCAGAAGTGTCTGCCAGGCCAAGGTAGAGTGCATTTAGCTAGGTGTTTGTATACTAACTAATGTTCTTCCACCTAACTTCTTGACTTTCACCTCCCAGATTTATGCCATATGCTTGCTTGTGGTTTTGAGGTCTGTCACTCCACTGATGACTTGGCAGGGTAATTAACAGCAGCAGTTCAGCACTGTGGTTCATTATTTCAGCCCTGGTTATGTGCCCTGGTTCATGTGTCACCTTATTCTGTCAAAATAAACTGATCTTTGGCAATAGCTGTCTGCTCTGTGTGGTGTGATGGATCATCCACAGAGGGTGTTTTTCAACAGTTGGTCAATGATGTTATATCTTTAAGTATGCCTATAAGTTTAGAAGGAGATTCCACCAGTCTTGTGACATGTCAAGGACATGTCACGTTGACATGGCTGGGACAAGAAATCCTCTGAGGCTCGGTCACAATTAATCCTTTTTGTGCATTAGATGGTTTTGTGTTTCCTTTGGGATGCTCTTAGCTGTGTTTTGAGGTGTAGGCTTTCTGCTCAGTGTAGCTATTTGTATACAAATGCATCCCCATATGTTTTTCAGCCATAATGCTGGTATGTGCTGTTGATAGATCTTGGCAGCTGAGTATACAGGTCATAGAGTATGTATGTGTCAGACCTAGCTGAAGAAATAGCCCTTATGCAGGTGATAAAGATGTGGGTTTGAATAAGAAAATTCAACCCACTAGTTAGAATTTTGCAAAATTAATGTATCTGTAACATGTAGCTACACATTTGTAATATACATGAGTATAGTGTCTGTATATATATATATGGGTATATATGAGGCCATTAAAAGAAGTATTTTCGAAAATCAGGCCCTTGAAGCACTTGCAGAGCAGTGCTATGTTATTTTCAGTACTTTTTTTCTATTTGAGCTGGTTGCCTTAAGCACCCTAAATTTTCAATGGAGATTCATTCTATGTGGATAGGAGTCTGTGGGGCCTACCTTATCTTAAGAAAGTTACCTTAAACAGGCTGCATCAGTTTGGCACTAGAAATCTCTGTTTCTCTTAATTAACTAAAAAGGGAGCCTCCAGAGATGAGCTCAGTTGTGTCTAAAATTAGACCAGAGGAATCCCAGCCATATTGCTGACTTTGCTGCAGATTGCTGACTGAAATCTTCCATACCCAGTACAAAATTTAGGTCTAATTTTCTGCTATTCTGTCTGTTGATTAGTTACTTGCTCCTGTGTAAAATGAGGTTAACTTACTACAAATTTTAAGCAGAGGTTTTAACTTCTTGGGTTCCTTTTTTCTTTATTAAAAAAATTCTTTGGTGCATTCAGGTCCTGTTTAAAGAGAAAGGCATTACAAAGTTGGGCTCTCATTTCAAACCTCAGCTGTGAAGTGAGTATTTAACATGCATTTAGCATTGATTCCTGATTCCTGACCAGTCTCTTCCTCTGCCAGTCCCGAGCCAACGGTGCTACGTCGGCAATGGCACGGATTACAGAGGGACAGCCAACACAACCATCTCTGGACACAGCTGCTTGCCTTGGAATTCTGACCTGTTTTACCAAGAGCTTCATGTTGACAGCATTGGGAAAGCAGTGGAGCTTGGCCTGGGACCCTTCCCTTACTGCAGGTGAGGAAAGTTCTTGTTTGTCCTGCGTTTGTACATCCAGAGATGGATGTGATGTGGAAATGAGAAGGGCCAGGGATCTCAAAGCAGGGTTCCCCTGTCTGAGGAAAGCTAGACTGACTTCAGTAATCAGTCAGCCTGACAAGAGTGATTGTACAGAAGACAAGATCTGGTAGAAAGGCTCAATCAATACCTGGGTCTGCTCAGAGAAGCTCAGACACAAAATAATGTTGGAAATTCCAGGTCCTTTTCCCCTGAGTAATGAAGTGTTATTCCCAAATGAAACCATAATGCAAAAATTTTGACATTGTTCATTAATGCTTATCCAAAAAGAAAAATCAATGCACTAGCTAAATTGAAATGGCTAAATTTACCTTTTTATTCTTTGCTTGTGAAAGACATACCATAAAAAAATATTTTCAAAAGAGAAAAGTTATTTGAAAATGAAAAATCAAAGCACTATATTTAAATAAGGTTGAAGTGGGATGGGAATTTTTTTTTTGATTTCTTACAAAGGAAAACTATTGCCAAAGAAGATGTCCCAGTGTTTCAATTTTGATTGCACCACATAGTGATAAACTACATTTCTGCTGAAGTTTTCTATATGCAGTTAAGCTGTAATGAAAATAGCTTGTGCTATGTAGGTTTGTGCCTTCTCCTCAGTCACCTTATGTTCTTCCCCCTGTTTCTGAGATATCCATGAGCTCAATGGATATCCACAAATAAAGGAAATGTTTTTGTTTAGAAAGAATATTTTTCATCCTGGAGATGAGTAAATGCTAAACCTGCCAAACTATAGATGATTCTCCATAAATTACTGGTTGATGCCTTTTGTTTGTTTGCTTGATTGCTTGATTGAAGATTTTGTTTGTTTGCTTGATTGCTTATTTGTATGTGTGTGTGTGTGTGGTTTTTTTTTTTAATGGAACTTAGACCAGTAGTTCAGAAAAATCAGAATCTATTGCACTTCTTAATTTGTTTGGTGATAAAAAGCATGCATGAATGCTGAAAGTAGCCCTTCTCTATCTAACACAAACCAACAATAAACAATTCCTACCCCATCCTTTAAACCCTCCCACCTTGATTTCTAGGGCTTGCTCCTCATGCAAACATTTCAATATTTGATTTATGGTGTCCCAGCACAGTGTGGCAATTTACCTGGCACAGATTTTGTGCTTTGACGAAACTTGAGCCCTTTGATTTACATCATTTATGCCCAATATTCACTTCCAGATTTGAAATGCAGAGAACAAAATGGTGTAGGAGCTGATGTGTTCATGTTCTGTAAAGCTGAGAAAAAAGCTTTTCACTTTTTTGTCAGCTTGTTACAATTTCTGGGGATATCTCTGCTGTACTATATAATCCTGCAGATATCTTCTTCTTCAAATAGTCTAATTTAGAAACATTGTTGGCGGAAGATGACTCAACCTGTGTTGCTTCTTCAGTTCTGAGAATTTGAAAGTCTTCTTATCTTTTTCTGAAGAGCAGTCAGATTGAAAAAGAAAAAAAAATAATCAAAGATAGCACTTGTGATAAATCCAACTGAAATTAGAATTACTGCTTATCTGGAGCTCTGAACTACCTTGTCTATTCTTCTTGGTCTAATAAAGTCTCCCTATATTCTTGGAGGTGTAAACTGGGCAGATTTCTGGTCACTTATAATGCGCTGATAAAGACAGGCTGTACCACAGAGAAACCCTAATGGAATCAAACCAAAATCTGTTTAACACCAAGGTAATAAAGGGCAAAATGGTTTCCATTACTCCTTTGTCTTTTCCCAACCTTTCTGAGGAATACAATATTTTCTTGAAATAGTCTTTCATTTCCTCAGACTCTCCAGGGAATGTGAACCTGAGATTTGCAAATTCATTTTTGCTAGCTATTCTTGTTATGGATTTTCTATGATTCTACCTGTGATGGAATCTCCTTGCCTAAAAAATAACCCAAACCAGGAATCTCTCCCATGGGATTTAGTTCTGAAAATAGCTGAGCTGATACCTGTGAAAGCACTTCAGTGTGGGCTGTAGTTAAATGCTGTGAACGTGCTCATGCATCCAAATACTTGTAGGCAAGTTTTACAGGTGTTCAGTCATGTCAGTATTTCATGTCCTACAGAGCCTTAGTCTTGGTTAGTTTTAAGATGAATAATTATGTTGAAAAGCTGCTCACCCTTGTAGGTGAGTACTTTGTCAGATGGCTCAAAATCTGAGAGCCCTGTCAGTGCTGTGCATGGTGCAAGAGAAAAAAGAAAACATTTGGGAAGCCTGGAACAACACTGTGGTTAATGCTTGTAATTCCCTCTTCCCCTGAATTCACTAGGAATCCAGATGATGATGATAAGCCCTGGTGTTACATCATGAAGGACAGCAGTTTGTCTTGGGAATATTGTGACATTCCAAGTTGTGGTATGTAAAGACTTTCTTAAAATCCATGTTATGAATGAATGAAGATTTATTGATACTACAACAAGGTTTCACTGTATAATTTTGAATGCTCTACTGCTCCCAGAAGTGTTGAATATCTTACTGTTTCCAGTAAACAACAGGCTTCCTTTGCATTTTTGGAGTTGTGATACAGTATGTGATTCTTGTCCTGAAATAGCAGCAGTGTCATACTACTGTTTTGGTCACAACCATCTCAATATCACCAAACTTTCTGCTAGAGCATGCAAGGTGCCAGAAATTACTGATGTTTTGGTAAAAATTTTCATCAACCTGGGAATCAGAGGCCCAGAAAAGGGAGTGGACCTGTGTGAGCAATGAGAGGTCTACGTCCTGAAGATGTATGAGACATGGTGTTTAATTCCAAAACATAAAGATTCTGGTAGTCTGAAGCCATATCCCTTTTTATCTCAGCAAGCAGGGAAAGGAGGCCACTAGTTCCAGCCACAGTGGATAGTTCTGCAATCACCAAAAGACCATGTGGAAGAAGACATAAAAAAAGAAGTTTTGTGAGACCTAGGATTGTTGGGGGATCTTCATCTCTGCCTGGATCTCACCCCTGGACAGCAGCTATATATATTGGAGAGAGTTTCTGTGGTGGCAGCCTGGTTCAGACCTGCTGGGTTGTGTCAGCAGCACACTGCTTTGCTCACAGGTAAGCTCACTCCTTAGTGTGACAGTGGCTCCTCACAACAGACCTGAACTGAAACAAGAAAAAAGATGAGATTATAAAAGACCAATGTGTCAAAAGGATTTTCTGGCAATTTGAATACTCTTCATGATCTGAAAAATGGCTTGGACTACTATAATCCCATAAGCTCTTATCTTGTTCCTTAAGGAGTCTCAAAGAGTCTAAATACCCTGACTAAAGGAATAAGGTAGGGTGAAACAGCACATAGAATGGGGCATTGCATGTGCAAGAACATGCAGGGGAGCAGAAGTATTTATCTTCTTCTTGGTTACCTTTCTGAATGTTTATGCCTGTTTTGAGATATAACAGAGATGACTGTGCTCTCTGCTGTGTTTTGTTCAGAAAGGCTGAGACAGCCAAGCAATGATTTATTGGAGACGATAAATTACTGTTGGTTGACACAAATAGAGTGGGCTGAGCTTAACAAAAAGCCACATGGAAGAGCTAAACAGTCAAACTTCTGAAGCTGATTTTCTTGAGAGAGTTTTTTGTTTTCTCCTGTGGGACACTGGAGAAAATATTGATTATAGAATGCTCTTACTTTATTCTAAATACTTAATTTCCTACAAATGCTCAACACTTTCCCTGATTTCAGTTTGATCACGTTCAAGGGAAAAATATTACATCATTTGACACCCATTGTTCCTTTGCATAGTAAAGAAGCCAAGAGAAACAGAAAACCTTTTGCCAGAATATAGACACTGATAGCTTTTAGAGCTAATAATACCACTGTGAATGCTGTACTGAAGCATTTGGAGCTCAAGCCACAATGCATTTGTTTTTCAAATGTTGTGAAATGGCTACTAACTTTGGCAGCTGTTCAGGACATTTCCACCCACTTCCAGCTGGTCGTTTGGTACGTACAGATTTTCCATAATTACTGCATTGTAGTCTGTGCTCTTGTGTTTGTTTAGTACCTCTGGTAGTCACAATTCCAACTGTTTTCCACTAGGCGACAATAGATACCTGTGCAGCTCAATTATTTCTTTTTTCTTTTCTGTAACCCCTCCTGTTTTATTTCTTTTCTTTTTTTCCTGAATGAACCATCTGTAAGTTCTAGTAGAATCATTCAGTGCTTCTAAAATTATTCTAAATACTGTTCCAGAAAGTGAACTTTCCACTGTTTTACAGGCCCAAAATTTGATTTTCAAGGAGGTTGATTTACTACTGCAAAAATACTGAGAAAATCATGGCCTTACATATTAATTGAAGAACATTTTATTGTCTTGTATTTTGATAATACAGAATACACTTTGCCCTTTACCTTTGTTAACCTTAAGCACAATTCTTGTAGCATCTCTCTGCACTGCAATTGCCCAGTCTCTTTGAGTCCATGGCTGCTGGACATTGCTGTGCACTCAGTACTGGGGGAGTACTGGTACTTTTGTACCTGTTGGGCACAGAAATGCAACCAGGGAAACTGCAATGATACAAACCACTCTGTGTCTGTGCATGATGTGTGACACCAGATATTTCCTTCTCCTGCACTGGGTAACAAAACACAGGAATGCTCCAATGTTGAAGAAACTTGCTAACTTAATTCATTATAGACTTAAGCAGTTTGAATTGGTTTTAGAACAAGAGTGAAATGTGAATTCTGTTGCTTTCAAAGCTAGAGACTATATTTCCTTTCCTAAACGCTTCCTGATTATTCTCCAATGTCCCTTACTTCCCAGTTGCTATACTTGTTCTTATTAGTTTTCTTTCCTAGGATGCTGGATATCAGAGAACTGTGGTCTTCAAAGTAAAAACCTGATAGTTGGAAAAGATGGTGTGAATTGCAATTACTGTGTTCTCCTTTGGCTGTAAAGTTTCCCATTAAATCCATGTGCTTTTGGGACTTCACCAGGTTGCTCTTGATTCTGGACAACAGATTTAACATAGATAAGCAAATCTCTTGTGATATCTTTTCAGTGGAAGCTTCCCAGATGTTCCTGAATTGTCAATGTTCCAGCACCTTTAAATCTTGGCCCATGCCTGTAATTTTTTTCAGGAGACTGTTTTCCTGGAGAAACGAGATATCCACCACTGACTCATCTTTTGATCCCTCCTTTCTTTCTGAGCAGTTTTTGTATTCATTGGCAAAGCTGAGTTTAAATTGACTCAGTTGAATTTCTAGAAGAGGTGTTTACATCCCCCAAAGATTCTTGCTAGCCAAGCAGCAGCTGGGCACAGTGCCTGTGCTGGCCTTTTCCTTCTTTCAAGAAGGAGCAGCCTTTAATTAGGCTAATCAGGACCCACAGAGCCTGGGTTTCACTGTAATATCTTTTTTCTTGCCCTCTGTAGGCAGGAAACCTGGGGAACAGGTAAAGGCATTTGAGAGGGTAAATAATGGACATAGTGGGAGGCTGAGGTTATAATGGTTCATAGGATACCCAGCCACTGGAAAATCACCTGCATTTGTCCTAGTAATGCTTGTCTCTCTTTTGCATTACAGTCCACTAAAATCCACCATTCGAGTAGTTCTGGGTCAACAAATATTTAATAAAACAACTGATGTAACACAGACATTTGAGATAGAGAAATACATCTTGCATCCTCAGTATTCTGTGTTCAATCCTACTGAACATGATATTGGTGAGTATTTTTCTTCAGACAGTTTTATTTTCCATTTACTCAACCTAGTTTCAAGTTTAGATGGTCTGTTAGAAACTGCCTTTAGAGTAGAAAAATCATAGATACTAGGAGAGGCTTTTGAATGCCGAGGGTTCTTATCTCTACCAGAGTTATAACAGCATCTGAAGGCTAGACAAATTCAGATGAAAAATAAATTGCAAATTTTAAATAATTATGATAATTAGCCTTTGGAGTAATTTATCTAGGTGTGTGGCAGATTGATCATCACTTCAAGTCTTTGTGAGATTAGGCCTTTTTTCAACTGAACCAGAAGCTGTAGGCTTGATGCAGGAATTACTTGGTAAAATTCTATTGTCTGTATTGTATAAAGGATCTGACTAGATGAATGTAATAACCCCATCTGCTCTGAAAACCTGTGGTACTAAGAATCATTTTTTACACTGAGATAGATTTAAAAATCAGCTGTCTTATCACTCAGAAGTTAAATGCCCTTCTGATTGACCTTATAATATTAGTCAGAATGACAATGGAGCAGCAACTTATTTCTTATTTTCTGATCTGCTCTTGTGAAAGTTGTCACGTCACCCCAGGGCATCAAGCTGTGTGAGCACTTTGTGAGATTATTTAATAGCCTGACATTGAGAATATTTTAGGTCAGGCATGTACTAGTTTTTTTTTTTTTGGCTCACAGATGGTGAATATTTTCTACTCTATTGCAAAAAGCATTCAAGTTCTGTGTTGGTGTGAGCTCTGTCACAGTGTACAAGGAGATAAACTGGATTTGAGACATTGCTCTGAAATCTCCTGGTGAAAACCACCCATGATGGTTTTTTAATTACTCTGAAACTAGGTAGGCATGCCTCACCAGTGTGCTATGACCAAATCTAGGGAGAGCTGCGCATGGAGTACCTAAGACAAGCCCAACTGCAAAAAAAAAAAAAAATGAGAAAGCAGAAACTGTGTTGTGGGGAGAAAGATGCAGGTGCCTGTTCTGTCCAGTCAGTGATTTCTTCTGATGCAACAGAAGAGTTTTGTCCTGCTGAAAATACTTTTCTAAAGGAAACAATTATCACATGAGTGTTTGCTAGGAAATTTGAGGGATTCAGAAGCAGAGTTAGCGGGGAAGAGGAGCAAGGTGAGGAAGTGTGGGAGCAAGGTTTGTGTGGGTTTCTCAAGCTGTGAGTTACTGCTCCTATGTTCCACTAAGGCCAAAAACTGTAGCTGGTAGAGAAATAAGACCAGTGAGGTCACTTGCTTTCCACACAGCTGTGCTCACAAAACTTTGAGCTTCCTAAAGGCCTAATGAGAAGGTTTAATAGGTGTGTCCACATTACCTCAGCTCTTTGAGTGCTGTGGCCAAACCAACATGCTGCCCTTGTTCCACCCAGTACAAAGCCCCCTCTGCTGCTTTACAGCCAAATGAAAGAGGGAACCAATTTTTGAAATCTTTCAGTATCAAACCCATGATGCTGCACAGCTATGTATTTATACTGTTTTCAACCCCATGACTGGTTAGTAAAGACTAGGTAGTTGTGCAGGTTATGTAATATTTTGTAGCTTCAAGAAGCTTGGTTTTGAAATGTCCCAAGATTTTATTCCTTAATTTTAAAGATCTTGAATTTTGCTGAACTCAGTTATAACAGAACACGAAATACACCAGCTCATGGAGTAATTAATTTTTTTAATGGAATTGGAATTAGGCCAATGGCCAGGCTTTCAGAAGCAGTGAGTATTTGCACATCCCACTTATTTCAGCTGAAAGTTGGGGATATGTCACTGTTATTTAACTACAAGGTGGGAGGAGACACATGTATTTTCTATCTTCCCCCTTCTCTACAGAGGCAGTGAGGTAAAATCTGCTCAGTGAGCATAGCATAAAATAAATATTCCCACAAGGGGAGTAGTTGAATGTTTCAGCCTTCAATTTGCTGTGAAATCAGGTGCTGTTGAGATGAGTCTGTCTGTCTTTGATTGAAATATCTTAATTAAGAGAGGCTTAGGGGATAATTAAATTTGTATTTGAGACCCATTACTGCCAATCCCATTAAAGAAAGGGAACAGTCACTTTCTTCCTCCTGCATTTTCTGTTCTGCAGCTTTGATTAAGCTGAAGAAGAACGGCCAACGTTGTGCTGTCAAGTCCCAGTTTGTTCAGCCCATCTGCCTGCCAGAAAGTAACACTGTTTTCCCTGACCATTTGAAATGTCAGATTTCTGGATGGGGACACAAGCATGAGAGTGAGTAAAACAAGAGCTGATATTTGTATAAAAAAAATGATGATAATAAAAACATAACGCTCAGATGTATGTTATACAGCTGAGAGTTTGTTAAAATGTTTTGCAAGGGACTTCTGGTGGGATTCTTTATACCTACCTTTAGAGTTTACAACATTTACATCTGAAATAGTCATCCTGAACTTCCTTTATAGGCCTTGGAATTTGGAGTGTGGTTCCTTTGACCAAATGTTTGCACCAATTTCAGGATGGAAGGAGCTATGAGCTAGCTAGACCTCACTGGACTGGGAGGGGAGAAAGTAACTCATTGGAGTGCCAACACCTGGAATTTTAGTAAAGTGAATCCTTCCCCTGATTTCTGACTTTCTAACTAAAAATCTAGAGATTTTTAACTTCACCATCAACAAACTTTGAAAACATTGATAGGAGAAGGCTAGGTAGAATTTGGGCTAAGAAGTGCTTACACCCATCTTGAGAAAAGTGGAAAAAATCATCCCATCCTTTCAGAGGAGGAATTTCAGGATAATGAGGCTCGACCATGCTGCTTCAGTGTTGAGATAGCAGAAACCTATGTAGATAGATGAGAAGGACTGGGGAGCTGGCTGCCATATTTTGGTGACAGATAAAGTATGAGCAAATATCCCAATCTAAATGTGTAGTCTAAAGATAAAAAGAAGTAATAGAGCCTTTGAAAAATGGATGATTTATTATCACATCTGGAAAGAGATGAGGACAGGAATGCTGGGGTACTGTTGCTGAGTCTCTAGAAAATGAGAGAAGCCAAAATGTATCAATGACTGGACATGGCAATACAGTTATTTTATGGAGTCTGACTGGAGGATCAGAAAGTGATCACTATACAAATTATTTTATTTTAAAGGTGTCCATAACATGAATACTACTGAGAGGTGTTAAATGTGTTTATTATGTGTTAAATGTGTTGTGCCTTGTGTTTTCCTGTTACGCTCTTGACATTCTATAAAAATGACTTTCTTTTCCTTTCTGGGACATTTTTTAAAGATATATCTGGTTATTCAGATGTCCTGCAAGAAACACTGGTTCCACTTATTTCGGAGGAGAAGTGCAGAAGTCCTGAAATTTATGGAACAGAACTCACAGAAAATATGTTCTGTGCTGGCTACTTTGATAGCAAATCTGATGCTTGTCAGGTAATGCTGGATCATCTCTAGGCAGGTGATAGAAAAATGTATTTGGGTCGTAAATATTGCAGTATTCAAATTATTAATTTTGATTTTATAGCGTTCCTAAAGAAAAGAAATATTCCTAAAGAAAAGAGCCTTATATGACTGCTTCCAACTTCATTTTTTATCATGTTCAATGTCAATTAAGCTCTACAGAAGGGCTGCAGGATATTACATTCCTCCTACCTTCAAATAGGGCAGTGGCTGTGCACTGGAGGGTGTGTTGCTCCAGTCCTGGCTGAGCCTGCAGGTGGTGGCAATGGATTTCTGCCCAGCTGGCAGGGACGTGCCAGCAGGAAAACCAGCATGAACCTGAGTGGGGACAAATCCCAGAGCTGCTGCCTCTTGACTGAGGGAAAATAAGGACACCTGGGTAGGAGGTGAGGAGCAGTGGTGAGGCTTGGAGGAAGGAGCTGAGGTTTCTATAGTGGATGTGACTGAATGGTGTAGAATGTCAGTCAATAGGAAACTGTGTTATGCAACCTCAGTCTTTCATGGAATGACCTCATGCTCTCACTACTCTCAGTTATGTCACACCTCGGCTCTGAATAAGGATGCAGAATTGTTGTGGTGATAGATGAGACTTCTTAAAATGAAGGATCAGATTATTCCTTACATAAAACTTCAGATTTCATCTACAGCTCATTTTGAAGGAGGAGGGTTTTGCTCTATTAACATAAGTTCGTGAAAAGGCAGCACATAGCTAATAGCTGGCAGTGTAAGTGCAGGCAAGAATGTCATGTATGCTGTGTGCTGGAAGGCCCATAGAGGTCATGAACATATCCAAAGAAAGGTGGCACGAGTGAAATGGCAGCAGCCAGCAGTGGCTCAAGGCCAGGGCTGAGACTGAAGCTGCAAGGGGTCACGGAGCCAGAGGGATGGAAATGACCCTGCCTGCCCAGCTCCCCTTGCCTTTCCCAGGAAGTGCAAATAAGAGACAGCATTACAGCTGATTCTCTCTCCCTGCCCTGGAAAAAACAGAAATCAGGAATGAGAAGGAAAAAAGAAAGTGGAGGGAAGGAGAAAGGAGTTGTACAAAGACAAGTGGTCTGGAGAAAATTACAAAGTCTGAGAAACAGTGATTTTGAGTCACAGATATTGCTGAAGAACAGTGCTCATGACATGAAGTCATTATTAGTGAATCAATAATTCATTTTTCCCTATTGTCGGACTTGTAGTGGGGTCTGAGGGGAAATACTGTAGACCTCTTAATGTAACAACAGAAGTGGCTGACCTCTGGATTTTCTTAATGTACACTTAGGATATAAACCTGTAAATAATCTGTTATGTATAAAAAATATTCCAAGACCAAGAAACATCAAACAGACTATGTGTTTCCCTTGATTATTTTTAAAATATTTTCTTGGAAACTTTTGTAATTTAATTAGTGCACTGATGCCAAAACTGCAATCAATTAGACTAATTGTGAAAAATATACAAATAAGACTTCATCTGATGTCCTTCACTTATACTGAAATCTTCAGTATAAAGGCAACACAATTTTCTTATGTATTTTGGTCTCAAAGAATTTTCTTTCGAGATAGGAAAAAATATATTTCTCCTCGGTCTCAAATAATTAGAGTGATAGCTGCTTTCACCAGTACCATTTACTAAGTCACATTTTTAATTTCTAACATTTTAATTTCTCTAGAAAGTCAATCTAAGAGAAACAATAAAAATAATAAAAAACCCTGTCCTGAATGTTTTCAAGGTTTAATATAAGTAAAAATGTTCAAAATTAACCCTTGCTGTAGTGTAGTTTGGGCTGCTTTTCAGTTTGTGGTTTAACGACAAGATAAATACTTAATAGCAAATTCAAACACACGCAGAACCCCATATGCCACATAAAATTACAGTATCCCACACTCCCAAAGTGTGGCTGTATGCAACACCTTTCTTTGAAAACTCTCATGTTCTCTGCAAGCTGCAATAAACTGCATTGAGAAATTCTCCAAATGCCCCCATGTAACCCCTCCATGCAGTGCTGATATTACAACACAGTGCCAAGCCCCAAAGGCTTGTTCACTTCCATTGAAAATTATCTACATCAATCATGCTTTTCAGTAGGTCTCTGAATCTAAAATGTTCATGTTTTTAAACAAAATCTGATATTTTAATACTTTTGTTAATGTGTAATTTAAAACAAAACACCATTATATTTAAATGTGACTAAAAATGCTTTCTATAATGAAACTTCAGTAAACTGGTTTTTTGTGTTTTTTTTTTTTTTTTTTTTTTAGTTTAAATCTCATGTGCAATAATTCCTATTTTATGACTTTCCCTAACTGATCTCCTGACTGCTTTCTATCTAATTAGATAACCTTTGCTTACTTTTGATGCAGGGAGATTCTGGTGGACCTCTGGCTTGTGAGGAAAATGACATTTCTTACCTCTATGGAATTATCAGCTGGGGAGATGGCTGTGGCAGAGTCAACAAGCCTGGAGTATACACAAGAGTGACAAACTATGTCAAGTGGATTAATGAGAAAATAGGCCCCCGAAAAACTAGCTGAATAGTTAAATGCACTAACATTTGAAGCAGGGTTCTGGAGTCTTCTGGTTTTATTAAAATGGCATATATATTTTATTATAAGCTGGTATGAAAACTCTCGTGGTAATTCTTAGCAGTTCCAAGCCAGGCCACCAAAAGCAGCCCTGCTCCATCTGATGTCAGCTGCCTTGATCTATCATTCAAGAACTGTGGATTGCTCAATGCACATGACTGCCTTTATTTGTCTTAAAAAAATCTCAAACATATTGACACAGTGCACAAAAATCTGCAACTCTCTGTCAGCTTGGTGGATTACCTAAAAAGGGATTTGATGTGTTCTGCAGTTTCTGGTGGAGCTGTCATCCCCCAAACCAACCTGCAACAATATTGTCCTTCCCCAAACCAACCCGCAACAATATTGTCCTTGTATTCTCAGTTGAAATGAAAAAATAAACACGAGAATCAAAAATGAAATTCCCTCTCCCTGAGAAATGATCGCTTGAAGCTCAGGGCAAGAGACAGCAAGAGAACAATGTAGGTAAAGCTGCTCCTCAGCTAACTGCAACAACAAGTCTGGGGAAAGAAACCAGAAGGTTTAGGTTTTATTTCAACCAAACACGTAAGCATATTTTTATATAAACTTATTTCTGTGTTCCACTGACGTAAAATCAGGAACGTGCCTCAGAGCTCTGCTGAATCTGGTGTGCAATTTCCCAGCAAGGTTAATGCAACACCTTCTGAGAGCCCAAAGTCTTCCTGAAAAATGTTGTTATCTGGAGCAGCTGATTTAGGTTGATACAGCCAGGACCTTCTGCAGACTGTGATCTGCTCCTTGCCCTGAGGATAGCAATGGAAACACTTCACCTTGCTGATAAATCCCTCAACGTTTCTTTATTTTGACAGTGTTTTGAAGATGTCTTAGGTTTTGTACTAACAAGTTGTTCAACTATTTAGATAATTCAGAAAGGAGGTTTCTTGTAACAGATTTTTCAACTGGATGGCTGGGGTGCAGCTTGACATTTTCCTTAGGGATTTGGTGACATCATAAACCACAGGCTTTACTGTCATGGCCTATGGAATTGTTATAGGACCAACCAAAGCAATTATTACAATAATTACAGATGTTTAGAGGCAGTGGACTCAGTTGTATGAGCAAAAACAGGCAGAAAATTATTCAACAGAAAAAGTCTGACAAAGAATGGAAAATTCTTTTTTTTTCCTTTAGCCATGTCACATGTGTATATTTAGGTGTTGATGTGAAATGTATTTTTCCCTTGGCAGTGAACGTTTATGAACTCTCTTAAGTTTTCAAGCAAAGTTGTTTTTTAAAGTAATAGAACTTTAAAGTGGTGCCTAGATATTCAGATGTGTTTTTTGTTTGTAGTTTCCTCATGGGTTTCTTAGTAGTGGTGAATGTTATTTACAGTTAAAAGAGATTTTTAAAGGAAAAATAACCAAAACCTACATCTGTAAGTAAAAATATACAACAATGCTAATCTAGACAAATGATGTAAACTGTTTAATAAAAACATTTACCCTCTGTTTCTTGAACTTAGTCTGTTATGTATAAAGTTACAGTAAGATCTTTGCATCCCTCTGTAGGCTGTTCTAGAGGATGAGAGCTGGTAGAAAGATGGAATAACAGTTTGTGCTGGAAGGCATCAGAAAATCTCTCTGTAAGGGTTAATTTCAGCTGGTGGTGCTCTCAGTTTAATGCAAGTGTCACACACATTTCCAGTAGGCAGATATAAGCACCTGGGTATGTTTTTCAGCTATGGATACTGTGAGTCCCAGGATTAAAGCCTTTGGTTTATTTTTCTGAGGCACTAAACACTAGCTTGAAATATTAATGTCCCCCTCTGGGATCTTGATTCCAAACCAAGCTGAAGATTTTTGTGTGGCTCTGCATCCCTGGCCATTTCCAGTATGAGTCTGGCTTGCTTAATGCCCTAAAATGAGTATGACCATGTGGCAGGACTAACTGTACCTGCAGCTGAAACAAGTGCTGTATCAGCAGGAAGGAACTGTTTGCTCTTCTTTGGAAGGGACTCATCAGGAACCGGTTTCCACTCAAAGATGAAGCCACCCTGAATGTCTGTATCTGTTCTGTGACTTTAGTTTCACTTTGAAATTAATATCTATCCACATTGTGCACAGTTTTGATCTTGCAGTTTCATGTTGTATATATTCTCTTGGTCTTCTCTTGCAGTAAAGAAGGTGGCTGTTTGATAGGAAAGGTGTTAGACTGGTGTTTCTGACAATTTGTGTAGAGTTTTTTTAGCTGTCCCGTTTTTAAAATCCATGCTGCTTGGATCAGTACACAGCAACAGCAGTACAAATAATAACACACTTAAAAAAAAATATATTGAATGGTCCAGTTTCTGCCCTCAAAGGTTTAAATGACAGATCTCCAGTTGATTCTAATTTGAATACTTTGAATGCATTAAAATTAATTTTTGGCTTTCAAAGCAGCCTGTTTATCCACTGTGACTGCATTGGCTTGGTGGAACTAAATGAAAATCATTTAAGCCTCAGCTGTGAGGTGACTAGCACAGTATAACAAGCACAGAGTAGGGGTGGCAAGGAGATGTCCAGGTTGGGAGATGTCCTGACCTCTCACATCCTGACATCAGTCAAATTCCTATGAGGCACTCCAGCATCTGCCCCCTGCCTTTCTGTTGAGCATCACCCCATGGAAACTAATTCTCCATATTTTTCACCCCCTTTAAGTGGTTATTGCCTTGGTTAAAATGAAAAATAGACTCAAATATACTAGTGAAATTTTATCTGATATTTTTCCTAACTCTATATTGAAATTGAATTAGAATGCAAAGCCAGTTGAACAAACACTTCCCTAATTCATTATGAAACACACTTAAAAGATGGTTTTATTAAATTGTATGTTATTCCATGCAAACCGACCGATTTAAAAGGAAGAAATAAATGCAAACATCTAAAAAAACCCCTTGTATTATGCTACTGAAAGAAAAATGTGCTGTAGTGCTGTTTAAAAAAAGCTGAAGGACTAATTACCATCAAATAAGATGCAGCAGGAGTATTTTTGGAATAATGGACTCTAATTAGTCCATTGCTCGTGAAAATAAATCTGAGGACATCATTAACATATCTTATTCTATTAATTGTAGCTGTTTCTGGATTGGTGCAAGCGGGTTGTTATCTCGTGGCAGTTGTATTGCAAAGAGGAAAAAAAAAAGTGAGAAGAGTATTTTTATCTGGGGTAGTTGGCAGTGTCTTCTGGGAGCCAAGGAGAGCTGTAATTAGACTTGCAAAGTGAGAATTGGGCATTGAAAGGAAGGCGCGGGAAGGGGGCGTTCGGGCCGGCCAGAGGCGGGCCCCGTTCCGGACAATGAATCCGGTGCGGGCTTTGCGGCCGCCCGGGCGCGGGGCAGCCCCTGCGGGCAGCGGCAAAGTCCGGAGCCGGATCGGGGCGGGGGTCGCGCTCGGAGCGGATCCGCGGTGCTCCGGGCGCCGCGCCTCGCGCTCTGAAACCCTGAGGAAATAAATAATTAAAAAAAAAAAAAATCCAAGTTTCTCCCGCAAGCCAGAAGTAAAACACATGAACAGAGACATTGGGACGGCCCGCAGCCCCCCTTTGCCCAGGCGGCAGGTCGAGGGCCGGGCCGGGCCGCGCTGGCCGCCCGCCCACGCGGGGCCCTAATAAAGCTATTTTGGAAGTGACCCCTCGGGCGGCCGGAGCGCGGGGCGGGCGCAGCGAGCCGGCGCAGCTGTCCGGAATCATGACTGAAGATGACGGATTCCGTGGTGGTGGAGGGTCACGTCAAGTTGAGAGACGGAAAAAAGGTCCCCGCTCCCGGCGCCCCTTCGGCCCGCGGGGGTCCCCGACCGCCGCCCCTTGCCCTGAGGGGAGACAGCCCGCTCTCCCCCGCGCGGCCCCGGCTAACCCTGTCCCTTTGCCTCTCGTTGCAGTGGAAGAGCAGGTGGCTGGTGCTGCGCAAGCCCTCCCCGGTGGCAGGTAAGAGGGGCCCGGCGGTGGAAGCGGGGCTCGGGGCCCCGCAGCTTGCCCGGCTCCCGGGGCGAGTGCCCGCACAGCCCTGGCGGGGCCGTCCCGGAGCTGCGCTGCCCGGAGCCGCGTCCGGCCTCGGAACGGACTCCTGCCCTCACTAAAAACAACGGGAAAAGTGACTTTCGAAAGCACAGGCATTGGATTTGATGCCGGTTCCAAATGCACTTTTTTTTTTCTTTCTTTTTTTTAATTTTAATTTTCTGAGGGTGAACTTATTTTTTCAGGGTGACTGCTGGCTGTAAAAAAAAAAAAAAAAAAAAAAACCAAAAAAACCCCCTGACATTGTAAGCTCGATAGTTATTTTTGATCAGTGTTTTGACAGAAAATATCACTTCAATTTAAAAATAAAATGACATTTTGAATTAAGAAGAAAAAAAAAAAAAAGATCGTTTCCATGCTTCTGAAAGGGAAATTGAAAACGTTACACAGAGCTAATGTTTTACTGCTGCAGAGGGAAATGCAGGCTTCAGGTTTCCCTATCTGTTCCCAAGAGGGAAAACATTTGAGCCCAAAAGTACTTCTTTCTAGGGCTAAATGTTGCCCACACATAGAAAACGTGAATCCTCACTGCTGCAGAATGGATTTTGGCAGCTTTTCTTGGCTCTTGTTAGAAAGACTGAAGGCTTCTTAGTAAATCTTTGTTACCTGAGTTGTTACAGTAATATTTTAGTGTTTGAAATGCCTGCATCTCATCTAAATCTGTGCAACCCCCCTGTGTGAAAGGGCATCTGTCGATCGTAGAGCTAGTACATCGATCTGTGAACATGGGCCTGAGTTTCTATTGTGAGTAAGCCAGCTTCAAAGGCTGTAGATGGTGGAGCCTGACTGATAATATTCCTCAAAATTACTATTTTTATTCTAGCTAATCTAGCCAGGTTTACTAAAAAGCCCCTGGTGATCTTCTTTTCTTGGTATATGAACTATAGCCCTTCTTCAGGCACACAACTGTATTGCAGAATGTTTAAATACTGTAGCTGCAGCTGTTTTTGCTAACAGGTGCACAAAG